TGGTTGCTGTGTATCGTGAGAGGAGGTTCTTTTTCTCAACTTAGTGTGTATGACGAGAAATATTTCACTTACTTCTGACACTGTTTTGCAGATGTTTTTACATGCACACACACACACACATACACACACACACACGGCATTTGCAGTCTTTCTATGAAGCTGTTGTGACACATAAATGAAATGTAGCCCCTGTTTAGAAATAGAAAACAACCAGCAAGCTGGAAGACTTAATCCAACGTATGGAAGGTGATCTTGAGGCTGAAACGACTCATCCACCTTCACCTGCAACTAAAAATAAACAGCCAGGACTCAAATATTTGCCAGTGTTTATTGATTACTATAAAATACTGGGCACCGTGGCAGGCCCCGGAACACATAAAGTAAAGCAAACAAGTTCGCTGCCCCTGCCGAGCCTGTGGTCTGTGCAGCACCGCTGTGTTAATCCGCAGTTAGATGACCAGCACGGTGACCCTGCCCTGACACACCCACCATCCACTGCCCTCCGTTAATCAGGAGCCAAAGTCATTGCCCAGACCGAGGTCCCCCTGGCACTGGTGTGTCGTGGATTCACAAGTCCAGTCGTTGGTCACCTGAGTGCCATCTGCGTGCCAGGACCTGGGCGCGATGGGGACAGCAGTGAGGATCGGAGGCCACTCTGGACCCCTTCTCTCCTGGCCTGGCCAGGCCGAGGCCGGGCTCCCAACCCCGCCTCCAACACGCCTTCTTCCCACCTTAGAAAGGCAAACTGAAATGCAGGTGAGGTGGTGACGCTGCCACTGAAAGCTGGGTCATTCTCAGCCTCGGCTTTCCCACTTCTGAGCGGTCATGGCGCGGTGGTGGTGAACAGAAACTGCCTCAGCAGAAGTCAGAGAGTGTGTGCTCGTGTGTGCACACTGCAGGGAGGGCGAGACACCAGAAGAGAAGGACGAGGACCAGGCCTGAGGTGTGAAAGCAATCCCAGTGAAAAGCAGAAGACAGCGGGCAGGGACAGGGAAGGTGGCGTCTGCAGGGCCTGGCGTGGGTGTCTCCACCGCTGACCCCGCAGCAGGCGAGGACCAAGAGCCAGCGAGGCAGGCCCGGCTCGAGCCTCGCTGGGTTACCTGGCCGCGTCTCCTTGGACAAAGAAAATAACCTCCCAAGCCTCAGAGTTCTCAGCCCCGAGTCAGCAGGGGTGAGGGCTGCAGGAGGACCGTGTGAGGGGTCAGCGCCGTCAGCAGTGGCCGCTGTTAACACCCTGCTGCCGCTGTGACTTCAGTGTTGCAGCTAGAGGTACAAAGCAAAGATGCAGCGCAGGTGGATCTGCAGACGCAGGCACCATCTGGAGAAAGGGAGGAGAGCGGGGCCACCCTGCAGGCCCTGCCCAGGAGCCAGGCTGGGGAGGAAGAGGGCAGGCCTCACGGGCACCCTCACACAAGAAGTGACACCGAGGAGGGTGACAGCTCAGCAGGCGGTGCGGGCGGCACAGCGCAGCTCCGCGGAATGCACCTCTCAGCCAGCTGACCAGGAAGCCAGTGACACGCGGTGATGTATGGATAACCGAATGCTTGGATTCCTCTAAAGGACAACAGACCGAGTTCCAGGTCCCAGAATAGAATCTCTTCTGGGCTGAGTCCTTCCTCGCCTTTCTTCAGCTTAATAAAAGCAAACAATTGCAGGAAGCGAAAGGCCCCGTCCACAGTCCGGCCGCTCACCGTCCACAGCTCAGCTGCATGCGAGCGATGGCCACGGTAGTGGCTGGAGAGAGACGTGTCCCCTCCCCGCCTCCAGGCCTTGGCCAGAGCTCCCTGCATTCATGGCATCTGTCAGGAGCTCCAACATCCCTGAAGGCTTCTCACTCCGAAATCGGCTCCGGGGTGTGGAAACGGGGACCATTTCCACAGCTCTGGATTGTCCTGATCATTGTCTTAATCTTGAGGCTGATCTTGAGGCTGAAACGACTCATGACTCAGGATGTTGGAGCTCCTGACAGATGCCATGAATGCAGGGAGCTCTGGCCAAGGCCTGGAGGTGGGGAGGGGACGCGTCTCTCTCCAGGCTTTGCCTTTCTGCCACACACCGAGCACCCCGGGCGAGGAGCAGCTGCCTTGCTCCCTGGCCAGGACCCCTCCGGGCAATGGGACTGGCAGATGCAAAGGCACTGAGCAGTGGGCAGGGGGCCGGGAGGTGGAGAAACAGAGGCCAGTGCTGTGGGGTGGAGCGGGAGGCAGAGGCAGAGGGAGACGCCGCTCCGTCTGAGGTCGGACTGGGAGCCATCTGTTCATCCATTGGTCCACCCACTGGTTCACTCATTCCATTTAGCAAGTGCTGCTTTCCTGCCTGTATCCCGTACCACTCTGGGTGCTGAGGATTTAGCCTGCGCTGGAGCAGGAAGTCCAGGGAAAGAGGCACCTTGGTCAGAGGACTGCAGGACACACACTGTCCCAACAGCTGTCCATGCACAGAACAGCGAAAGCGGGACCTCGGCTCTCATCTTGGGAGCTTCCGGGCAGGGTTCCTGTGGAAGTGGAATCCGGTCTGGGCCATGAGAATGAGGAGCCAAGCAGGTGAAGGAGGAAGAGATGCTCCAGGGACAGAGATCGGCCTGGGGCCAGGGCTGAAGTGTGGCTGCCAAGGAGAGGGCAAGACGGGGCAGGGCAGGGAAGAGGTGGCGGTGGGCCTGGGCCGGTGGAGTGTGGGGCGTCATTCAAATGGATAAATGGGTCCAAGACATGGGGCCAGAGCGCCAGTATGGGGCTGAGAGCTCAGCACTGCTGACAGTGTCATCTGGGCGGTGATCGGCCAGCCTGGTCGGGCACGGGAGCCTGCGTGGTCACTTGGAGGAAGGGTCTGCGATTGCCAGGTGTGGGGAGAAAAGGTGTTGGCCAGGTACTACTCAGGCCAGCGAGCGGCGAGGAGACGCTGAGATCCCTGCGCTGTGAGGGGACAGGCGGAAGGGCAGCCCTGCCCTGAAAAGGATGACGGGATTAATGAGGCTTTAGATCCAGCAGGAAGCCCTCGAGCTTGACCCGCAGCTTGGCCGACATGAGAAGGAAGAACCTGGCCAATCTGAGCACAGGGCAGCCCGGTGAGAGAGAACCACATCACCAATGAAGCAGTGGCACAGGTACAATAAAGAAGATCCAGGAAACCGGGCAGAGGCAGTGCAGCCTCGCAGGTAACACGTGGACCTTGTTTGGATTTTGCGTTGCATGAACCGAAGCTTTGAAAGAAGCAGAGAACTCCGCATGCAGCCGGCTCATGCAATGCTGGGGAGTCGCTGTCAGCTCTGCAGGCACTGACAGCTGTGTGTGTGTGTGTGTGTGGTTTATACACGTGCACACGCGTGTGCAAATCCACACACACATATTTAAGCCTTTCCAGAAACAGGAGGCCTTTTGGGGTAGATGACGTTGTGGGTTTGCTTAAAATACCCCAGAGCAGAACAGGTGGCCAGTGCTGAGCTGGAGCTGCCTCATCTTTGCGGTGGGGCCGTGGGCACTTAAGGGCTTGTTTCGTCGCCTCGTTTTTGCGTGCGTCTGAACCTTTTTGTAAGTAAGCGTGGAAAGCAGAGTCTCACTTTGAAATGAAGAGCATGAGAAAAGACCCAGGCCTGGGGAGCCGGGGGTCCATTTTGGACCCAGTAAGCTTGATGTGTCTTTGGCTTACAGTAGAGGTGTGGCAGGTGCCACGGGCCTGAGGCTCTGCGGACCCTTGTGCCTGCAGCCTGGATGCCAGGGCAGGGAGACTACTCCAGGGAAGAGCACTCAGAGCCAGGCCCAAAGAACCAGAAGACATCCTGGCTGGGCAGAGAGTCCAGGAGAAAGGACCACGGCCACAGATGCCAGGGCTGGAGGGGGGAGGTGGTGGCCAGGGCTTCCACGAGGTGGGAGGCTGGTGGCGCCCGGTGTCAGGAGAGACGGGGACCAAAGCGCCTCTCAACGGGTTTGCAGCCGTGATGGAAACGGATGTCCATCGCGTGTGTGTAGGTAGGAGTGAGGCGAGGATGGTGTCAGGCGTGGACAGCTCCACTGTGAGGTGTGAGAGAGACAGAGAGGCTCACGGGGCTGGAGCTGGGGAAGTAAAAGAGGTTACATGTTAGTTATTAAGTCGGCTGTGGGCTGGATTAAGACAATGATCAGGACAATCCAGTCAAGAGGGAGAGGTGGACTGTCTGCAAGGGACAGCCGGTGCACAAGGGTGTGAGGGGACAGCTCCGTGGCTCCTCTGGGAAAGGGCAGGAGGATCGCACAGGGAGCGGGGTGCAGGCTGCAGCCTCATCTGCGCTGTCTTCCCTGACAGGCGGGCAGTGCCTGGGGTGTCAGGATGACGGAGAAGGTCGAGGTGGTCACAGGAAGGGACGGGCAAGTGATGGGGATGCACCCTGAGGTCGGTGACCGAGGCCTGGCAGGAGAGAGGCTCTGGAAGGTTGAACCAGGCCGGGCAGGTGCATGTGCCAAGGGCATGGTCGGGGTGGGTGAGCCACACAGGGATGGCAAGGTGCCCAGCCCAGAAGCACCAAGGAGGTCACTGGTCCCAGGACTGTGAGCTGATGGTCTTGATGGCAAGGACCTGAGCGCTGGGCTGTGTGTCTCACCTCCACCAGCAGCCCAGTGCGCCTGCAGTGTGGTGCAACTCACCTCCAGCGCCTCCCACTGCCTGTCCCGTGGGAGGGGGCTCCATGGGCAGCACGGGTGTCAACAGCATGGGGTCGGTAGGCTGGTCGCAAAGCAGCCTTTTGAGGCTCCAGCCCAGTCTGCTCCCTACACCGAGGCTCTTCAGAGAGCCAAGGAGCATCTTCTGCCTGCAGGAAGTGTCTGGTGCCATCTTGCCTGGTGGTGGCTTTCCCACAGCTGGGCATGGTGGACCAGCGTTAACTGCCGTGAGCCCCTGCCCAGGCCAGCAAGCTCTCAGCAGGGCTGGGCTGCGGGTCCTGCCGGGCACCTCCGGGATGGACAGCCCCCGGCAGCCTGGGGCCGGGCTGAGTGACACCCGGGCGCTTCAGGGGTCGCTTCTCTTTCCAGCTTAACGCAGGTGATTCGCAAGTTTGCCAAGCAGCTGGACGAGTGGCTGAAAGTGGCTCTCCACGACCTCCCGGAAAATTTGCGAAACATCAAGTTTGAATGTAAGTGCCGGGTTTGGGAGCAGCGGGGAGGGAGCCAGCCACACTAGCGGCCCACTCTGCGGGGCAGTTAGCAGAAACCCAGGACATCTGCCCCTGTGGCCGGCCTGCAAAGCACCAGGGCCGCTCTAAGCCCGTCTCGGGGTGTGGAATGCTCGTGGTGGTGGCTCGAGGCTGCTTTTGGAGAAGCGGGGGTTCTGGCTTAGAGATCGATGGGGAGCAGAGACGGGGCCCACTCCCAGGCTCTGTCTGCCTAGCCACATGGCCACAGGTGGGGATGCAGAGGCCACGAAGGACACTCACGCCTGTGCGACTGCAGAGCTCCAAGATTTGCTTCAGCTCTGCCCCCCAGTGATGGTAGCTGGAGACAGGCAGCAGCCAGGGCTTTCTCTTATTTCCTGCCAAACTAGGAAGCCAAGTCACTATTTCCCATAGCAGGGCCCGGGCCGCGAGATGCATCTTTGCACCCTCCGTACCCCCCAACCCTCCACCCGTTCCCGGGCGTCTGCTGTGCCCAGTAGAGTGGTTTGCTCCCCGGCTCCTGCCTCTGTGCTCCCCGAGGCTTGTGTCGCTCATTTGTTGCTATTAGGCAGAAACAAAATGATAAGAAGCAAAACAAGGCTTTAAAATATATGTATCTCAAAGCCCCATTTGAATGCAGCTTGCTGTTCTCACCCAAAATAAGTGCCAGCGAGGAAAAGAGGGCGATCAAGTGACCCGGGCTCTGCGGGTGCTGGGGGCCTCTGAGAGGCTCTGAGGCTGCCTGCGGCGCCCGGCACCTGTTGATAAAGCCCGCTTTATTTCACGGCTCCCAGTTCTTTTCTTTCCTCCAGCACTAAATTCCACATCACAAAGTTAAAGAAAAAGTAATTAAGGAGAAGGATTAACGATTGATCAGCCTGGAAAATTAGAAGTTTATCTGCCCGCACGCCCAGCCCTCGCCTCCTCCCCGCTCCCCATTTATCAGACTGAGCCAGCTTCGGGCGCAAATGAGAACGATCCTGGGGAGTTTCTGTTTCTTGACCAGTTCAGAAATTAATGAGAAGAATGCCCTGCGCCCATTTTAATTACGCTGACAAAACAAGCCAGTTCAAAGTGGCTCGGCTGGGCCTTCCACCTGTGCGAGCCCCCTGGAGACAGCGGCTCCTCCGGGGGGCTGGCGAGGCCTGCAGGTACCAGGGCCACGGGCACAGGTCCCCAGGGCCGCAGGACTAGACAGAAGCTTTCTGTCCCCTACTTCGGAGTGTCAGCCTGTTACGCTGGCGCAGGATGCGGGAGCTTTTCTGAAGGCTTTGGTTTGCTGATGACTCGATGAGCTAGGAGGATCACGCAAAGCCCCCCGCACAGTGCCACCTGGACCCCTGCCAGGAGCCCCCGTCCCTGAGCGTCCCCGAGGCACAGTTGAGATCCCTGTTAGACCCACCGCTGCTCAGAAGAGGCTTCTTCAAAGCTGTGTTTGGTTCCTGCAATTATTCATGGGGAGACGGGATTGAGCTTGCAATTAGCGAAAGGAAAGACCAGTAAATAACTGCTCTCACTCGGGGTTGGCTGACGCCGCCATTTCTCCCTCCTGTGAGCATGGCAAGGGCGTGACTTTGAGATCTGTACCCCGAAGTCACCGTGAGCCCCGAGGAGGTCATTCTCAACCACCCAAAGGGAGGACGGAGAGTCAAACGCAGAGGGGCACACAGAGCAGTGGGGCGGGCAGACGGATGCAGGCGGAGCCGGGCGGCTCTCGGAACCCCACCTCGGACTTCAAGCACACCAATATTTACAACTCGCTCTTCCTCTTGCAGTGTCCAGAAGGTTTTCCCAAATCCTGAGACGGCAGACATCACTCAACCATCTTTGCCAGGTAGCTGTCCTCTGGGTCTGTCGTGTGTCTGTCATGGAACCGGGAGGTGAGGGGGCGAGGGGTGTCCACAAGACCAGCCCCCTGGATGCCCGCGAGCCCCAGTGTGTGTGCGCCCTGCAGACAGGAGGCTGAAATGCGAGCCGAGAACAACACTTCCAGCTCGCGCACGATTATTTCTGAGTTCAGATGTCCCTAAACCTCTTAGATAGATCCACGCTTTCCTGGCTCCCTGAAGGCCGTCAGAGCTGGACAGCGAGTCCTGGCATTTGGTGGTGCAGGAGTCCTGCTCTGCAGAGTCCTTTGTGCAGTGCCTGGCCCCTTCCAATAGATCTGGTGTCCACCGCCCCCTACACCCCCCACCGTGACCCCGGGAACAGCAGAGCATTCTAGAGTGTTTAAGTCACATTCTAGGCTAAGTATCTGCCTGGCTTCAGCTTGCTGCCCCCCCCCCCCCGCCCGCACGAAACTATATGCTTATTACAAAAACATGAAAATGGCTAAACCGAAAATGGAAGAACCTTCTCTCGGAACTGCCTTGCGATTAGTTCTTCCCCCTGGTGAAGGGGTCCACATCTGGGAATGGCCCCCCATGACACCCCAGAACCAATGGCCCCAGCTGCATTGGCTAACTGGTGGCCACAGGCCACATTGGCCCTCAGGAATATGTGATTGTTTGATGTGCATGTGTTAAAAACATTTTTCAGCTTGGTCGCTCACAGTTAAACTGGGAGATGACAGCCAGTCACCCAAAGTTTGTGTAGAACCCCTGAAGAGCGGGCAGCTCGCCCAGAGTCACACCCACGGGGCCTCAGCTGCCTGGATGGGCGAAATGCTCGGTGGACACCGTCCTCCTCCTGCCAGCGCTCCTCTTGCAGTTGGCCCTGGGTGCCACCCACCTGCCCCTTTGTGTGTCCAGGGTCACATCTCCCCGGTGAGCCAGGCGGGGCTCAGCGGATGCTGGCTGCTGTGGTGGAGGTTGAAGGAGGGGTTTCCAGCTGGAATGGCCGGAAGGAGGCCACGGGCCAGGACTCCAGGCAAGGCGGGGTGGGGGCCTGACAGATCCTGCTGGCCGCTGCCGGGGCTTCACCCGGGGGACCTTCTGCGACCCAGGGAAGATGGGCCCATCCATCCTCTGCTCTTCTTTGCCCGCGTAGAAGTGCCAGCCTTAGGTCACATCAGGGAGCACAGCACGGCTTTGGTGCTCCCTCCGGGGCTCAGAATTTAGTAGACTTTGATGCCTGTGTAGGTCAGTGCACCACACCCACACCCACTCCCACAACTATAGCCTGCACAAGTGCGTGCATGTGTGTGCACACAGCCCTGCTATGCTTTGCACACAAGGAAGCAAAAGTGGGATTTAACTGGCCAATGTCACCTACCTTCTCACCTTCCCTGGACAAGCCTTGGACACCTGTGCTGACCTGCTGGAGGCCTGGGGTCAGTGCTGGGAAGCAAACCCTGGCCTGCCTGAGCTGATAGTCCAGAGAGCTTTCCTGAACACACACACACGCACACACACACACACACACTCACAGCAGGTCAGAGCAAACAAGATCCAAGACTAACCCCAAATACGTAGGCCAAGCCACGTGCCAGGAACTTTCAGATAAGCAGGCCCCTGGCGGGACCTGGGCTCCAGACCCTGGCCATTCACTCCTCCCACAAACTCCTCCGAGCACCCACCACAGGCCAAGACCGTCTTAGCGGTGTCTGCCCCCAGCAAAGGGGAAAAAGTCAACCGGAAACTAATTAAAGGTGCATATTAGGAAGGAAGTGGCAGGAACAGGGAGGAGCCAGGCGTGCACCTGTGCGTCCTGCGCACCCAGCTGTGCACCCACTCTGTCCGGGTGACGTTTACACCGGAGAATCTGGTGGGAAAGCAGAGGTCCAGCCGCAGGCGGTCACTGCCCAGAGAGCCAGCTGCGTGACCGGGGCCACCTCTAAACACCTCCACTTTTATGGCCCACGCTCGCAGTACGTGATGGTTACTTTCACCTCGGGAAGTGGGTGCTCACGCAGAACAATTGTTGATTCTCCACGTCCCCTTCCCCCGCCTCCCTCCCCTTTCCTCCGCCTCTTGGTTCCTCGCCTTGTGCAGAGGAGCTGTCTGCCTTGCTCCCGTCACCTGTCCCTCACCTCACTGTCTTACTGACTTACACTCCGAGTTGCTCCTTGAAGAGATACCCCGGGGTCCTGAAGCTCGGGTGTCTGGTGTTTGTCACTTTTGCTATGATCTCCGGCTCCCTGTGCCTGTCTACGCACAGTGCCTTTCAGACGTCATCGTGAGGAGCCCTCGGGAAGCACCGGGCACTGTGACGCCTGCATTTCTAGGCTGTGAGACAGCTGCTCCCCCCTCCCACCCCAGTCCGCCCGCTGGTCCCCAGCAGCGTCGGGTGGGAGGCGGGTGTGTGACTCCTGAGCCCTCGGCCGCCACCTTTCGTGTCTTCCTTTCTGTGAGCTGAGCCGCAGGGGCAGCCCCGGCACCCGGTACCTGTGCTGTCTAAGCCTCTCTGACCCTCAGGGAGTCCCGGGATCATTCAAGTAGGGAGGGCTTCCCTTGTGCTTGGAAGTCAGAATGTAAGCGTCAGAATTTACCTTTGCCTGGAAACGAGTGTTACCAGCTTTACAGCGCTTTGGTACATTTTAAATCTTCTTTCTACTTACCAAAGTATTGTTTGAAAGCATGCAGGTAACGGAAAGGCTCCCAGACGTGTTTTCCTGCCTTTATCAGTTTTGTTCCAACTCAGCGATGCTGTTCCAATTGTCGTTCCAACTTGTAAATTTCGGTTGACTCATGAGGCTCTCCTCCTGAAGTCACAGCTTTGCACATGCACACACGCACGCACACACAGAGACACACAGACACAAACGGCTGACTCACACAGTCTCGTTCTGCTCCATCTCAGTAATTCATATTTGTTGTAATCATCCTAATTAGATAAAAGCCAAAAACAAAAACCAGGGCCCAGAATGCTTTAGAATGCATTCACGTGAAAAATGTCAGCAGCCCCACCTGTGGTAATGATGGTGGTGGCAGGGGTGTCCCCAATCCAGTCCCCAGAGACATGTGGGTGACTGTCCAGGCCCCACCAAGCTCGCATCAGAAAGCGGGCACCTCTCTGGGTTTCCTCCTGCTGCTCCACAGGGCCAAGGCCGGGAGGGCTGGACACAGCAGGGTCTGACCCAGCCCGGGCCACCTCACAGGTCCCTGCAGAGGAGATGTGGGGGAGGGGACAGCCAGTGGCAGTCCGGGTCTCCCGCGTCACGGAGTCATCCGCTGCTCTCCCCAAACTTTTCCTGCATCTCAGAGTGGTTTACTCAGTACCAGAAGCAGACCTGTTAGAAAGGCAGCTGGGGCGGTGACCTGGCCACCGGAGCTAACGCGCTGACTGACTTGGTCGCAGGCGTCCCGGACGGTGATCCACAGCGCGGACATCACCTTCCAGATGCTGGAGGACTGGCGCAACGTGGACCTGAACAGCATCACCAAGCAGACCCTGTACACCATGGAGGACTCCCGCGAGGAGCACCGCAAGCTCATCGTCCAGCGTAAGGGCCGGCCCCTCCTGCTAGCGTGATTGCCTAAAGGAAGAAAAGTAGCTGGGCCAGCATGCAGGTGCCTTCCGCCATGTCCTTCCCTGGCTTGCGTCCCTCTTACACAAGTCCGTCCCGACGGGGGTCAGATGGGTGCGACATGTGTCAGCACGTGACATCGTGCCAGGGACTCCAGAGGGGACCCTGCAGGCCAGGAGACCTCGGGGTCGGTGAGCAAAGAGCAGGAACCAGGTTTAGCTCATTAGTGATTTGACCACTAGGACATTCCTGTTTGCATTTTAAAACACTACTGTGGAAAGACGAGTCTTTGTTGATCTCCCCCAAAATAACCCCAGCACTGGGGACCGCTTACGGCATCATTCTTGCAGCTTTCTGAAACAGTTCTAGAACTTTCCCGAGTGCCCTTAGGTGCACTGTCGTGGCGCCTTGATGTCGCCTATGAAGCCATAACGTCTCCCTTTCACGGTCCTTTTTACTTTGGGCAAGAGCCAGAACTCAGGGTGCCAGCCCCACTGGGTAAGGCGGGAGGACAGCCCCTGCCCCGGCATGGCCTGGCCCTGGGCAGCAGCACTCACCATGTTTTCAGTCACACTTTATAAAGCCCCAAAGTGGACTCCAGCTCTGCCTCAGGAAGGGCGGGAGTGCGGGTCAGTGTGTGAGGTGTGTGGCAGTTCTGTCCTTCACCGTCATGACTGCGTTTCGGTTAAACGTTGGCCGAGGCTTCTGCTCAGCCCTCTTACGGCAGCCCCGAGTCCTCAGGGCTGAGGGTCGCGTGACCCGAGCCAGCCCTCTGCCCTGCAGGGAAGCCTGCGGCACCGTGAGTGCCCAGAAAGGGGCCTGCGTGGCCAGCCCACTGCCGTGGGCTCCGTTCCTGTCCATGTGGACGGATAAACGCTTCCACCCTGCAGCCAGGGTGAGCTGCCCTGGGCCCCATCCTGGCCACGGAGAGACAGCTGGAGAAGGCAGAGAGCAGCACAGCTGCGAGCCATCACCCCAGCCCGCTGCCCGGTCCCCCACGGGCCGCAGGTCACCACCTCATTCCGGGAGAACCAGAGCAGAGGCTGGAGAGGGGGCCTTGCTCCGTCCAGAGCGTCCCGGCCAGGGGCCTGGTGAGGCCAGGGCAGGCCTCATCTGCTCCTCCCCTGTGGGTGTGACCGCGTTGGGAGGCCCCCGAGAGGCAGCCCGGTTCGAGGAGGCCCCCATTTCCAGGCTGGCCTCCTGTACTCTTGTTGGAGGCAGTTGCTCTGTGGGTGTCAGTGGGAGGTTGTGGGGCCCACGCACTGCCTCTGAGCTCCTGCTGGGGAAGCTTTGCTTGGAGCCTCCCGAGTTGCAGGGGAGAGGCTGGGTGTGTGCTCCCTACTATGGGCTTCTTTCTTCCCTGGGGTGAGCTGGGCTCTGATCCCCACCTCCACAGCTGCCCCCATCCCTCTTCACCCCGGTGAAGAATCTTAGGGAAAGTCATCCAGACAATCATGCCGTTTATCAGCTCTTTGTTCTGTGTCCTGTCCTGGACCAGAACCACCAGAGCAGAAGCCCAGCCCAGGGAGTGGGTGAGCCTCCCAAGGCAGGGGTCCCACAGCTAATAAGTGGCCCAGTGAGAGCTCAGGGCCAGATCTGGGCCCCCATGGCCTCACACTGCTCCCGTGGCAAAGGACCAGAGGAGGCCGAGTTCCCGTGAGCAAGCAGGTTGCAGGGCGCCTGAGTCTGTCCAGGAGCCCTCAGCCAAGCATCCTGGTCTGCTTTTCCTTATCCTGGTCCAGAAGGTTACCCCAGCGACATTCGGGGGGCCCCTGATCACCATGTCCCCAGGTGCCAGGTGCAGAACAGGGGTCCATCCACATCCCTGGGGACCGGAGCTCCTGCCGTGTCAACCATTGGCAGTGTGAGGCTTGGTCCTTTTACCCCGCACCCGCTTCGTGGGTGGAGAAGACGTGATGTGGGCTCCGGGGAGGGTACCATCCAGAGAGGGTGCCGAGGGCGTGGACCTGGACGCCATGCCTGCCCTCTCTCCAAGGAGAGCCTTCTGGAGCCCCCAGGCATGGGGCAGAAAGACGCCTGGAAGCTGACATTTGTCCTCCCTCGGGAAGACAACAACACGTCCTGGTCTTGTTGCCCTGTGATGCCTACCGAGCGCCCTAGAGAGCAGCAGTGCCCCATCCTCGGGGAGCTGGGACCAGTGAGGACTCGGAAGGCCACGCACAGAGGGGCGTCTTGGCCCAAGGACGGGAAGGGAGACTGAGGAGAGCACCACGCTGAAGGCCAGTGGCCCAGCCGGGGTGTCACTCCACACGTCTGCTGACAGTTGGGGACCCCAGAGCTGGGAGCACGGCTAGGGCAGCAACTGGGCGCTGGCCAGCTCCTCTGGGTTTTTTCTTGAGATAAATAAGGGTTTATTGTTTTCTTCCTTTTTAAAAAATTTTTGTTGAATGTTTGCAGTGCGTAATGATCACGCTCACTGTAGGGGGCTGTGCGCCAACATGTCACAGTTTGACTCCTTCTGTACCCGCCCCTTTGGTTTTTCCAGCGTGCAGTTCACATATTTACCCCGTGAGACTTTACAGAGTTACTTACCATACATACAGACTGGAACCCGGACAACAGGCCAAAGAGCGTAGAAAACGTGTAAGCTGGTTGTCCTGAGGCAGGACACGCTTCCGGCTACGCGGTCCGGCCTGGATCCCAGTAGCCGCCCCTTTCCTTTCTCTGTTATTCTAATTTCTCACATAGCAGACGCCACGCGCTATTTAAGTGTGTGTGTCTGAGCTGCTTCACCTAGCATTATGGCTCAAGGGGACCCATTTTCCCACCAACCGAGCTTACCCTTTCTGTGGCGGAGGAGTGCTCCGCTGTGTGTGAACATCACTCTTTAAAATCCATTTATCTGTCGATAGACATCTAGGCTGCTTCCAAGATTTACGGATAAAGGTCCGCGGACATCGCTGCGGTGTGATGTCAGCAACGCTTCGGGGGAGAGGCCGAGAAGGGGTGTGCGGTCAAATGGACTTCCTGCTTCCAGGAGTCTCCACACCGACTTCCACGGCGGCTGCCCGAGTCTGCACTCCCACGCACAGTGGAGAAGGCCCCCTTTCCCCGCAGCCTCTCCAGCAATTGTTGTTGGTAGTTTCCTTATCCTGGCCATTCTTTCTGAAGTGAGATGGAACCTCAGTGTGGTTTTCATTCACATTTCTTGGATGTCCAGTGACATTGAACACTTTTTCGTGTATTTTCTGACCGTTTGTGCTTCTTCATCTGAGACGTGACTATGCGTCCCATGCACCCACTTCTTCACCTGACCCTTTAAATCTGGTGGGTCCAGTTTTGCCCAGTTCTTTATTCTGGCTGTTAGACGTCTGTCTGAGGAGTAGCTGGCGCTCTGTCGGCCGTGTCTTCACTGTCTGCAGTTTCTTCACTGTGTCCTGGTCTTTGTAATTTCCTGTTTGTGTTCGCTTTGGGTCTGTGTTGGTCTTGTTTTTCCAAGACCTTGAGCTGCACCAGCGTGAGCCTGTTTCTTTGGGCTCATTCTGGTTTTCTGATGTGGGAATTCACTGCCGTGAGCTTCCTTCTTAAAACCGCTGTCCTTGGTCCCGCAGGTTCCCATGTTTTTATTTGATTGTAGAAACGGTCTGGTTTCTTCTTTCCTTCCATCTGTGACCCTCTGATTATTTAAGAAAGTTATATTTACTTTCCATGTGTTTGCATAGCTTACGCGGTTTCTTTTGCCATTGGTTTGATTCACTGCACTATGATCTGATAATATGCATGAAATAATTTTGATTTTTTTGCATTAGTTAAGCGTGCTGCTGGGTGGTGAGTGGTCTGTTTTAGAGGAGGTTTTGCGCGCTGCTGAGAAGAATGTGTATTCTGCTGTTGTTGGATGAAACACTCTGTAGACATCTGTTACTCCACTTGTTTGAAAGCCGGGTTCACCTCTGATGTTCCTTGGTTGATGTTCTGACTAGCTGGCCTGTGCCTTTGGGAGCTGGGCATTCCAGTGGTGCCTCAGTTTACAAAGTTAATTCTTCCCATTCTTCTGCTCGCAAACTGAATTGCATGAGGACCAAATCAAATTTCTCTACAAGGTTAACAGTGAACCTGGCCATTGAATTTGGTTCAGTTCTCGTCCTGCTTGGTTTGCTACACAAATTGCAGAAAGAACGGAGTTTGTGAACCGAGGTACCACTGTACTGTTGCATTGGCATGTTTTGGATTTTTATGTCTGTTGCTTTTTGTTTTCTGGAGTTGGACCCTCCACTGTTTGGTGCATTTATATGTGTAATTGTTAGCATTTCCTGTGGATTTGTTCCCTTCACTAACATGCAGAAACCTTCTTTGTCTCTTCTGACCAGTCAGCTTGAAATCCACTTTGAATGTAGAAAAGCTATTTCTACTTTCTTCTGGGTTGTGGTTGAAAGGAATATTATTCTCCAGCCCTGATTGTTAATCTGTATTTTTAAGCAATTAAGAGTGTTTTTCACATGCTGCACCTGATGGGTTCCCTCCTGATCCCTCGTGCCGACCTGTGGCTCTTGATTGGAGAATGAGACTGTTCGCACGAGAGTGTCCACTGTGAGGTGTGACCCTGTCCCTGCCAGCCTGTTATTTTCCTGTCGCTGATTTTCTTATTTCTCCCCTTTTGCTTGTTTGTTATCCCACCAGCTGTGTTCATTCTGTGTGACTTCTTGTCCTGGTTGGTGTCACTGTTTCTTTCTAGGACATCCTTGGGAATTTTTTGTAATGTTTGTTTAGTGGTCATACATTTCTTGACATGCTCCTTGTCATGAAAATGTCTCATTTCTCCATCAATTTTAAGGGAAAACTTTGCCGGATCCCAAGTCAGGGCTGAAGTTGTTATCGTTTAGGGCTCGGAGCGTCCCTGCTGGGGCGGTCACTGTGGCTGTGGTGCTTGCCGCAGACAATGGGACTCATGCAGGTGCTTAGAGAGTCTGGGAAGGACCCTCGGGCGTCAGGGGCTGGTATGCAGAGCACACCGGGCGGGCACTGTGACCTCGGGGGGTGACACAGAGGGTCCCGTGCTCTGTGCCGCTGCCCCGCTGTCGTTAGGAACCAGGCATGTGAGTCGGGCTGGGCTTGAGTCTTATCTCTGCCCTTCACTAGCTAGAGGACCTCCGGGAAGCTGCTCACCTTCAGGGGCCTCCGACTCCTCCTCTGTAAGATGGGGACAATAACAGCACTTCTTGTTTGTCTGTGCATTCATTGGACAAGCATGTGAGCCTCGGCTCTGTCACATGGTGAGCCAACACTGCCGTGCCATGACACTCACACCCTAGGGGCTGTCTGGGGCTGGACAGTGCACACGAAGAAGACCTGGCACATGCCAGGGTTCGGTCATGCTCGCTCTCAGCCCCCACCCCACGGCCGTCCCTGCCACTGTCATTGACTGAAGCCAGGAGGCCAGGCGCAGGGACATGGGAGGAAGAGCCCCGGAGACCTGGCCTCCAAGCCTGCCTGGCCCTGACTCACTCCCTGACTTCAGTGAGTTGTCAAGTCTTATGGGGACCTAACTCTTCATGTACAAAGTAAGAAAGAGCCCCTAAGCAGACTTTAAATCATGTTCCTAACTGGGTGTGGTGCTGCCCTCCTGCAATCCCTGCTCTCTGGGAGGCTGAGGCAGGAGAACTGAAAGTCTGAGCCCAGCCTGGGCAACTTAGCAACTCACCGAGACTGTGTCGCTGAGTAGCAAGTACACAAACAAAAGCAAATCCCATCCCCTCGCTGGCACTGGGACCTGTGGGCTGGCGTGACTGGCTAAGTTGCTTGCCAGACAGCGGTGCCCGGAGCCCTGGGCCATGCAAGGCGGAGGGAGAGTGAGGCGATGCCTCGGCCGTGGATCGCTGGTGGCAGCTGCCCTGTGGCCGGTACGGCAGGCAGCAGAGCGTCAGAGACCTGGCCTGGAGTCACCCTGCACCACGTGCTATTCGCCCGCACGGCGAGCCAGGAAAGAAGGGCGTGACATGATGGGCTTTGCTCCCAAGGGGCGCGGGTAGCACTCAGAGGAAGAACTAAGGTTCTAAACTGGGAGGGCTTATTGGGGACCGGAAGTGGCCTCACAGTGTGCCAGCCCTGGAGCCCAAGAATGGAAGGGGAAGGTGCAGCCCTGACTATAGCTACCCCTGAGTGCCCTGCCATATTCTGAGGTTTTGACTGCAGAGTTTTGTGGGTCCCCCAAAAGGTGCCTCTGTCTGCATGGAGCGGCAGCCAGGCCTTGGGTCTCCTCTGTTTGACAGTGTACCAGGAGTTCGACCACCTCCTGGAGGAGCAGTCGCCCATCGAGTCCTACATCGAGTGGCTGGACACCATGGTGGATCGGTGCGTGGTGAAGGTCGGTGACGGGGGCCCTGTGGACAGGGGAGGCGGGGGGGCAGGACGCAGTCTCCCCAAGTCACCCGGCTGGGTGTGCTTATGTTAGGTGCAGGAATTCTTTTTTTTTGGTACCAGGGATTCTTTTTTTTGGTACTCATGGCTTTGCGCTGGCCAGGCAGGCGAGTGTGCCGCTGAGCTAAATCCCTGACCCTGGTGCATGAACTCTTGGCATAAGACTTGCTTCTATATATCTCAGTCCACTTGCCAAGCACAATGTTTACGCGCCTCAGGCGGAGTCGGTGCGTGCGTGTGTGTGCGTGTGTGTGATGCACCCTGATTCTTTTATGCCCCTCCCTTCCCCCCTCCTCCCCTCCCGCCGTCTCCTGCTCCCCTTCCTGCTCCCTTCGCCTTTGCAGAAGATCCCAGTAGCCCAGCCATCTGTCTTCTGTTTTGCTCTTTGTTTACACTTTGGGTTTCTCACGTGAGAGAATTTTTAAGTCCGTGAGTCTTATTTATTCCACCTCACATCACAGCCCAAGGGGCGTCATTTTCCGACAGCTGACTCGGGTTCTCCTTCTTTATGGCCGAGTAGTGCTCCATGTCGCACCAGTATCCCGCACCCGTTCCTCTGCTGCTGGCTCCCACGGCTAGGCGGTTATTGGTTGTGCTGCTGTGACCGTGTCACAGTGCACGCTGCTGCCCACAAGCGAAGTCGGAAGGCGCTGTTCCCTCGTGTTGAACTCAGAGGCTCCTAAGCCTTCCGGTCATTTTTCCAAGCGACAGGAACAATGGAAGTTTCGGGGCACTACAGCTGCTCCCCCTCTCACAGGTGGCCGCCCAGACACAAGGGGCGCTGAAGAAGGTGGCCCAGCAGTTCCTCCTGATGTGGTCCTGCTTTGGCACCAGGGTGATCCGGGACATGACCTTGCACAGCGCCCCCAGCTTCGGTAAGGCTGCCCCAGCCCTCCCCGCGCCTGCGAGCTCCTCCCGGTTCCGGGGTGCGGGTAGGGGTGCGCAACACTGTTAGCACAGTCTACGACCAGGAGGACCCGGATCCTGAGGCTGAGAGCCGGCCCTGCACGCGGGCGGTTCCCCCAGCAGGGGCATTGCCTGAGCATGAAGTGTCAGCCGCAGAGGGCAAGCGCTCCCTGGGCCAGCTGTCCTGGCGACTGTGTCCTGTCCCTGTGGTCATGTGCGGGGCCCTGGGTTTCAGCACCTGCGTATGGTCTCATGGGCTCCTCTTTTTCATTTTTCCAATGACTGATTTTCAAATTTTTATTTATTTATTTGGAGACGGGGTCTGCTGTGTAGGGTTTTGCTGGCCTCTAACTCTCACTGACCCTCCTGCCTCAGCCTCCTGAGAGCTGGGATCACAGGCATGTGCCACCATGCCCCACTGCTATTGCTTTAAAAATGCAGTCTAGTCCTATCCGTAGGTTTCTGAGTTCATTCTCCCCCGCCCCCCCCCGCCCCCGGGTTTTCATCGCCTCCAGGAGCAGCGCTGCCCCACGTCCTCACCCACGGCCCCCTGGAATAGCAGGGCTGACACCTCTGCTAGAGGGCCCTGCTCTGCAGAACCCTGCCCCCACTGTAGGAGACAGGTTTCTATTTTTCAAAGATCCAGCTATGCACTGAAACCAGGCACAGTGGCCTGTAATCCAGTATTCCGGAGGCGGAGGCAGGAGGATCAGGGGAAGCTGAGGCCAGCCTGGGCTACCTAGTAAGTTCAAAACCAGCCTGGACTACATAGTGAAACTCTGTCTCAAAAAACCCAAACAAAAGCGAACCAGATATGCATGGAGCGAGGCGGGGCCTTGAAGGTGTCACCTGCACATTCAAAACCCAGAACGTGCTGGCCTCCATTTGCAAGGCGTTTGGCGGAGGCGCTCTGGGTGAGTTCTCCGGGTAACTGCTTCATTTTCCTTGTGCTTTCCAAGGAGAGCCACGGTTTGGTTTCTCGTGGTCTCCTGTGGGCACTGGCTCTGCCCTGAGGTGAACGTGCCCGGTCCCTCTAGCTTTCAGCCCTCTGCTCACTGTTGTCCTGTCTGAATCTCGAGGGCGCTAGTTTCTCTAAGCAGCCCTGCCGTGGAAGCCCCGCCTGCGCTCTCCGAGAAGCGTTTTGTGGCACGTTTCTTTCACCAGGGCTCTGAGAGGCCTCCTTTGCTTCAGATGGGAGCGCTCTCAGGACTGGGTGTGGAAACGTTCACCGCCAGTGACCTGGACAGCACCTGTGCTATGGACAGGTCGGCATGGTCAGCGGAAGCACATGCCACCCGGCTCTGGACAACGCATTCACACAGGACTGCGTTCACTTAGGGAACGGCTGAAAAAGATGTAGGAGGTGTTTTCCTTTCACTCCCAAGACAAATTCAACCTCAGCTACAAACACACCTTTCCACGTCTGCAAAGGGAGCACCTCTGCCTCCTTTTATCCCGCAGTCTTGGATGCCTGGTTTGTAAACTGACCACCCGCCCCCTCCCCACACCTCCCCAGGAGAAGAGAAAACACCACTGTGCAGCAGTGCGCTTTGCAATCCATCTGTCCTGACCCAGGAAAGCAAGAGGGTGTAATGAATGGACTGAGTCCACTTCCGAAAGGATTGTTCTTGGAAATGTGTTTATCGCAGAATAGGCTGGAAGCTTGGACAAATAGGAAAAAAGAAAACAAACCCCACAGTCCCTCTGGAAAAGGATCGGGACAGAGTGATTAACCTGATCTCACTTTTACAGTAGTCTCCAGCCTCTAGCGGGCTGTCCGGTCCGTTCAGCAAACGATCTGAAGCGGCCCAGCTCTTCGGAGGCTTTGTGGAGTAGTGCGGCTTGGGGTGAGGCGCGCTCAAGGAATTCGCGGCAGACAAAAGCCCGCCTCCCCCTTGAGCCGTGTGTGTCAAAGCCCAGTTGGTGGCTGTGTTTGGGTCATGCGCTCCCTGTATGAAAACAGCTAATTAGGAAAAGAGCCCTGTCCCCGGCCCTCCCCAGCCACCCGTCCTGTCCCTGCCTGCGCTGGGAATGTCCCTCGCGGTCACTGACCGGCCGGCAGGGCCCTCGGTCACCTCTGCCCAGAAGAGCGCTGTCCAGAGGTGCTTGGCGCCTTTCTTCCCTAGCTCCTGTCCCCGAAGGGCAGCACTGTGGGCTGAAGCAGCCGGATATCTCTGCTGCGAGCGGTGGTTCCGAGCAGAATCTCAGGCAAAGGCAGCAGCAGGCAGCGAACGTCTGGTCCCAGAAGAGCTGAGCAGATAGATGGAGGCATCTGTCTCAAAGCGCACCCCATGTTTGCAGCCGACCATCCTCGTTCAGTTCCCGGGGTACCTGGGCCCCCAGGCTGCTTTGGAGCCTCCAGCCTGTCCTCTTGGTTGTCACCACACACCTGTTGTCTCGCTGTCATGGACCTCTGGAAGGTCACAGTCTTCCCAGGAAGCACCTTAGCCTAAAGCAGTTCACCAAGCAGCCCCGGTCTGAAGACCCAGGGGGTGAGATCGTACAGCGCTTCCCTGGCTCACTGATTAATTGGCTGATTGATTGATGGTCCATTGATTGACTCAGTGCTAGGAATGGAACCCAGGGCCTCGCACATGCCCAGCAAGCATTCCTGTGCTGACCTATCTCCTCCTCCTTAATTTTGAGATCAGGACTCACTAGGTTGTCCAGGCTGGCCTTGCAATTGCAACCTTCCTGCCTCGGCCTCCTAAGTGGCTGGCCAACAGTACACTTTCACACGCTCTTTCCCTGCTTGGGCATCAACGCTAGCCCACTTGGGCAGAGCCCAAGAGGCCATGTGGGCACCTGTTAGGAGGTGGCCCCCACCCAAGTGGCCATGACCAGGCTTCTGTGGCTCGGATGCCCCTCATGGCTCTCTGTCACCCTGAGTACGCTCTGCGGCAGGACCCTCACCATGCAGGAACTGGCTCCCCATGGCCAGGAGAGGAAGTGGCCCAGGGCCACCCGGGGGCCCGTATGTGGATGCCCATGTTCCAGGGGGGCTCTTGCTGCCGCCCCCACCCCCTGCCATCCTTAGATGGATCCCAGCGGTGATACCACCAGCGCTCAGGAGGGCCTGGGGGATGCGGATGTGAGGTCAGGCGCTTTCTGTGGGCCTCCCACCGCAGCAGCGCCCTGGATGAGGCCTCCCCTCAGCCTGATGCGGGGACAGTGGGTGATGGTTACTAGGACGCAGGCGGCAAGCACAGGCGGCCTGTAACCCCCACCTCTGCTCTGCAAGGCACAGAAATAGCAGGAGCCCACGTGGAGGATTTGCACACCTAAGGCCAAGGTGGCCAGGGCTGGGCTCCGCTTCAAACCCAGGTCCGCGTGGCCACAGGTCCCCTGGCCCTGCCGTGGTCACAGCCACCCTGGCTCAGGAGCTGGGGCAAGAGGGCTGGACCGATATGGGTGGTCCACGTTTAAGGCACCCGTATATGGATTTAAAATGAAAGCTGGGAGAGGAGACAGCAGTGGTTAGACGGGCACGGGGACCAGCGGACCCCCAAAGACACCAACCGGAGTGACGGCCTGTGAGTGCTGGCCACAGGAACTGGCAACTCCCACGGAAGGGCGAGGACCACAGGAAGCCCTCTTCCCACACACAACACTGAAAGAAGCCACACCGCACTCCGGCTCTTCACGGAACGAAGGGAAAGACCACGGAAGCAAAGCAAAGCCACACACGAGGTCTGCATTCCGGGAACAGTTTCCTAGGTGTGGTTGCTGTGCAACGAAGTAAAGCCCCGTGGACTAAAACAGCCACGCTCTAGTGTGGGCGGCTTCCGTGGGCCAGCACACGTGTGGCGTGGGGCTCCACGTACAAGGTCTCCACAGGGGACCCCTGCGCTTGTCTGGTTGAGAAGTGTGATTCCCCACCCACCCCAGCCCAGCAGTCGCAGCCCGCCAAGATGGGAGGATTTCATGAGTCTCCCGTGCTCAGTGGAAAGATGTAACAGCACTGGGCAGGGCTTTTATCAAATAAGAGAAATCTTTAAATATGTAGGCAAATTTTTTTTTGTCTTTTTCTTTTTATCAGTACCGGGGATTGAACTCACAACCACACACTTGCAAGGCAGGAGCTTATGCTGCTGAGCTAAATCCCAAGCCCCAGCTAAATCCCCATCCCCATGTAGGCAAATTTTTAAATGTGTAAGCAAATTAGTTAATTTTTGGTTCTGATTTTTTTAATTTTTGGTTTTTTGAGACAGGCTCTCACTATATAGTTCAGGCTGACCTTAGACTTGCAGTGATTCTCCTGCCTCAGCTTCCTGAGTACCCCATAGTTTTAATTTCATAACTAATCTCTCTGTATGTAGATTCTAAAAAGGCAAAACCAAGTTCAAGGAAAACAGTATAACATGCTTTAACAGGAAGAGGATCTCCAAGGAATCATTAAACTGTGTGAAGGTCTTTGTCCTATTTAGGAATACTAAATAAACTTAGACTTCGTTGTAAACATTTGGGGTTTTTTTTCTTTTTCTTTTCTTTCTTTTTTGTTTTTGGTTTGTTTGCTTGCTTTTATCTGAGGCACATTCTCGCTGTGTAGCTCAGGCTGACCTTGAACTCACTATTATAGCCCAGGATAGCCTGGAACTTGTGGCAATTCTCCTGCCTCAGCCTCCTGAGTGCTGGGATTACAGGCATGTGCACCATGCCCAGCAAAGTTTAGTTTTATTACAGTAGGTCCGAAGATACATGAAGGGATGATTACTAAATAACAGAATCATAATTTACAGAGGAAAAGTGAGAGAATATGAGAATTGAGATGCCAGAGGGCCGGGGATTTAGCTCAGCGGCACAAGCACCTGCCTTGCAAGCGCACAGTCACGAGTTTGATCCCTGGTACCAAACAGAAAAAAGACAAGAGTTGATAAAAGAAGCACAGAGAATGCACGGTAAATGAAAAATATGAACTAGCATGGCAGAAATAAAGAGCAGTTGCTATCGGAGCACACGGAAAACTGTCTTCCTTCAGAACACACCAGGCGAAAATACACTTACAGGAAAGTTTTACTAGACTTAAAAGAGAGATTGTGATTCTTAGTTTATGAACATGAAGTCAGGCAGATAAATATTTAAAAAATTAAAATTAAAGGAAAAAAGCAACAAAACTCATGAAGCTAATCTCAATTTCAAAATCTGGCAAGAACAGTAGAGGAAAAAAATTGTGATTCAGCCACGTATTTTTCGTAGATGAAAAAAGTCTAGGTAAAGTACTAGCAATCTTATCCTACGGCATTTTTTAAAAAATCATAATTAAAAAAATCTATGCCAAAAATTCAAGTATCAGTCAAAGTCTGACAGTGACTATTTAACATACTGTACGGACAGATTAGAAATGAAAAATCAGATGTTCATCTCTAGGAACAGAGATACCATTTACCTCTCAAATGTGATTTCGTAGAATACAGAGGAACAGAGATACCATTTACCTCTCAAGTGTGATTTCGTAGGAAATTCTTAGCAAATTAGAATAGATGACTTATTTAATATTAGGAAAATCTGCAACAAAGATCATACTACATGGTGAAATTTTAGAAGTTCTCCTGTTTGAGTCCTAGAAGACAGTATAGACTGCAGACCCTGCCAGTGCAGTAGGAAGAGGAAAGGAAACTAGCCTTGGGAGGAAAACACAAACTATCTTTATTTATCGGTGTTATAATTGCTGATAAACGAAAATCTCTAAACTAATAGAACCAGTAAGAATTCAGCCAGGTGACTAAATTCAGGGGAATAAAATCATTGGCTTTTTTTTTTTTTTTTTGCACTGACTTGAAAGCAAATATACCTGAAACTGAAAAGTGCCTAGAAGGGGCTGGGGATTTAGCTCAGCTGGGTAAGTGCCTGCCTGGCAAGCAGGAGGTCATCAATTTGATTCCTGGTCTGTACGCCCTCCAGGTGTCTAGAAATAATTTAACAAAAATTATTCTAAGATCTTCAAGGCGAAATTTTAGAAGTTACTGAAATGCATCATGCCTGTGTTTAGAAAGACTCGAGCTCAAAAAGATGTTAATTATCTTCAATTTAGTGTAACAATTCAAAGTAATTCCAGCCCAAGGCTTAATGGTGTTTTCTTTGATTTTTTTAAACAATTCAATCTGACACTTCGCATGGAAGAGCAGAGAGCTCAGATGTGGGAGGTGCGGAAGGACCAGGTGCAGGGGTGTCCCCAGGCGGGCAGTGCGGGGTCTCCAGGAGGAGCAGAACGGAGAGGCGGAGGGGGGCCTACTGTGCTCAGTCCCCGCCTCCCGGTCTCCTCCCTGTCCCAGAAGAGCTGTGGCGATGGTGTACATGACAGGGAGGGCGTGGAAAGCGGTTGGTAATGGTCCACGAAGAATTTGGGGGTAATTAAAATAAAATTGGACCCCTTGCCTATAAGTCCTGCAAAGAAACAGTGACAGTGACAGATCTTAAACTCTTGGGAAGAAAATACGACATCCTACCTTTATAATCTTGGAAGAGGGAGTTATTTCTTTTTAAAGGGTACAGAAAAAAAACAAAACAGAAAAATACTGTCAAATTAGCAACATGTGGATTTTAAGCTTCTGTTTTTACCTTAAAGTTAAAACACAAAAGCAACCGAACGGAGAAGGTATCCTGCAATGCATACAACCACTAAAGGATTAACGTCTAGAATACATAATAAACCTCTCTAAGTAGAGTTTTAAAAGGCAAATATTCCAGTAGAAAAAGGAGCAAAGGCGATAAATAGGCCGCTCACAAAAGAGAGAGTTCAACTGGGTGTGGTGGTGCAGGCTTGTAAATCCAGCACGCAGGAGGCTGAGGCAGGAGGATCGCCACAAGCTCAAGGCCAGCCTGGGCTCTACAGTCAGTTCAAGACAAGCCTGAACTACTTAGCAAGATCCTGTCTCCAAAAAAGAGAGAGGAGGTTCTAGTGGACAGCAATCGCACAGAGAGACATGTGCCTCGGTCATAACGAGGGGATACAGATTGCAGGGAGGACACCTCACAGCCTTTGGGCTGAAAGTCACTAAATTTCATCCTGCATCAGAAGAGCCCACAGGACATCTTGGTAAGCGTTCGGCACTGTCCCATGAGAGTGAAGATGCAGCTGCTCTGGGGCCATCGATGGCACTTCCGGAAAGCAGATACAAAACTTCACTGCAGCCGGCTTCCCACAGTGAAGAACTGCCGGGCGCTGAGCTTCCACAGCGGGCGAGGGAGAGCTAGGGTCCGTTCAAACAGCATGCGCTGGGCAGAGCTGTGTGTCCAGCGGATGGACTTCAGAGTCAGAGCGCGGCCGTCACGGGCGAGCTGCAGGATTCTGAACCAAGCATCGCACCTTTTCCGTCAAGCCTGGGCATGGAGAATCGGGTGACACTGTGGGTACAGGAGCACATGCGGTGAGTGTATCAGTGCTCGGAAACAGTAAAGGCTGGCCCGAGAGGCGGGCGCTGGGCAGACACGGAGGAGGGCATTGCGACTAAGGAAGGGGCAGGATCTCCCTTTCCTTCAGGTACTAGAGGCCAGCGTGAGTGCACGATAGCGGGAAGCCGGCCGGTTAGTCCCCAGGGTCAGGGACTAGAGGCCTCACTTTTATACACGTTTGAAACTTTCCATGGGGAATAAAGAAAATTTTTCAGTCCATAAAATGCTGGGTTGCAAGAAGACAAGAGCACACATATTTCCTAATAGCTTTAATCCCGGCAGGCGCTGATGTCACCAGCTCTCTGACTGCAGGCAAAGTTATCCAGGCCCCAGCCCACTTCTCCGGGTGCTCCTGAAAGCGGCCTCGGAGCCTCTGTCCACCAGCCCAGCACGGCGCACACGACCACGGGCGACCCTTGCTCATTCGATGCATTCATTCAGCAAATATGCATGGTGCCTGCAGTCTATGCCCAGCACAGTTCTAGACACTTGGTCCAGAACAGTGGGCAAGACCAAGAACAATCTCTGGCTGGCGTGGTGGCTCCCTCCGTAGTTACAGCTCTCAGGAGGCTGAGGCAGGGGATCACAAGTTTGAGCCCAGCCTGGACAATTTAGGGACTTAGTGAAACTCTGTCTCAAAAAACGAAAATGAAATGGAGCTGGGCCGTAAGTCACTGTGAGGCTGGTGCCTGTGCCTGGCTCTGTCTGCCTATTGCTCTCTTTCTCGGTCTCTCTCACCAATCTTTCCGTATTAGCCAGCGTGGTGGCTCATGCCTGTAATCCCAGCACTTGGGAGGCTGAGGCATGAGGATCACTGAGAGACCAGCCTGGCTACAAAGTGAGCTCAAATTCAGCTTGAACTGCACAGTGAGACCCTGTCTCAAAAACACACACAAAAAACCTTTGTGCATCTCCCTTTCTGTCTTCCCCTCTCCTCCTGCGTGCTGCAGTCCTGTGGCCATGCCACTCTGGCATGAACTGTTGATTGCTCAACAATCTTAACGAGGGATTCCGGCTTGCTAAGCACCCTGCAGCCTTTGTGAAGCCAGGGACTGAACTCCAGTGTCCTGTGCACTCGGAACTCACAGCACAATGGTCGGCAAACTGCAGGAGACAGGAGCGTCTGCTTGCGTGAAGCAGGACTGAACTTTAACAGCCGCCCGACGGTAACTGATCAGAGCGGTTCATGGAGGCGCCCAGCCCAGAACCGCTTTCCCAGCGGTGCGGCCTCCACGCCCAGCCTGAGGCTCCCCAGCAGCGTGGTCCCAGCCCCAGCGTGTTTCTTCACCGCGCCAACCTCCAACCTCCGCTTCTTTATCTGGAAGCCCGAGAGGCTGGCAGACGATTCCACAGCTGCCAGCTGAGTCCCACCCTCCTCACCCAGCCGGGGTTCCTCATCCTCATGATTCCAAGGTGGTTTCTTTCTATGCATGGGGACCCAAATCAACACTGCAGCAGCAGAATTTCTCCGCTCAGGGCACCTCTCCTTCTCAAGCGTTTGCGGCCATTTGGCCACGCAGTGTGAAGAAAACTTATCACACTGCATGGTTCGTGAATTAGTAATAGTCACTGCCACCGGGACGCCCTGGCAGCAGCTTCCTCCTCCCGTTACCTCTGCGGTGTCCTCCTTCTAGAGAGCTGTGTCTCGTAACAGATGAAAACAACTTGAGGCGCAGTCTTGGGTTCGAGTCCTGAATTCTACCACGTACGGACCTTGGATGGTTATTTTACCCTCTAAGCCTTGACGCCCCTTTTGTGAAAGAGGAGCATTTGTCACCTCCTGTGGACGGATGAGCATGACTCAGTCTACGGTGTGAACACCGTGTTCGCCAAGAACAGTCTGAATAAGTGTCCGAGTCTCTTTAGAAGGGTCAAGGAGGGAGGAAGGGGCCATAAGAGGACGTATTGTGCACCTGTCCCAACCGCAGAGGGGGACTCATCATATAAAAATCAACGCATCATTAGGGAGGGTAACCTGAAAAACTGCAATAAAGTTGCCTTCCACCCACAATGGTTTAGCCATGAATTAAAGGGTACAAAACTCGGACCCCAGACCTGGGCACCTGGGAAATCTCTTAAGATGACCTCGCCTTTGATGAAAACTCCAGCCTCCCTGGAAAGGAAGAGAGCTGCTTGAAAATGCCAGCTCTCTTCAGCTCAGTACTTCCCTGAGACCTGGGTGCTGTGTTAAGTTCAGACACATTTCAGGAAATAACTTGGTTATTGCAAACTTAAAATTTCAGTTTCACTGCCAGAGTTTGGTCAGGCGCTGCAGTAGACAGCAGTGACCTAAAGGCAGAGTTCCCCCTCGGACGCTGTGTAGGTCGCTGGGGACGTTTCTTAGGCAGGCGGAGGGGGTGACACGGGGGGGGTGCTCTGCAGGGTGAGGGGGCTGCGGGTGGACCCTCGAGAGCTTGGGGCTGGCGGGGACGCAGCCAAGAGCCAGCAGACCGGCCCGGCAGGGAGCGAGCCCCTGACCCCGCGTGCCGGGCCGGCCTCCCTGCCCGGTCTTCTCTCTCCCAGGCTCTTTCCACCTCATCCACCTGATGTTTGACGACTACGTGCTGTACCTGCTGGAGTCCCTGCACTGCCAGGAGCGGGCCAGCGAGCTCATGCGCGCCATGAAGGGCCAGGCCGGCAGCGGTAAGCGGCCTGGAGCGGCTGCGGCCGGGTCTGCAGTGGGCGGGTGAGCAGGCGGCCGAGGCCGCAGGGAGCGGCTGTCCCTGCCTTAGAGGCTGCAGTGGGGGCAAAGCACCAAGGCTCCCGCAGGGCAGCAGGGCGCTGCACAGATGGCAGCCCTGGCTGTTCCCTTAGACACGTCGCCTAGACTCAGCCTGCCTGGACCCGGGTGCTGAGAGTTCACCCTTTCTCTTTCGCAGAAGCTGGAGAAGAGATCACCTTGACAGAGGCCGCCCCACCAACCCCCTCCCCAGTGCCATCGTTTTCTCCCACAAAATCTGCCACTTCCGTGGAGGTGCCACCTCCCTCGTCGCCTGTCAGCAACCCGTCCCCCGAGTACACCGGCCTCAGCACTGCAGGTACTGAGCGCTCCCCGAGGTGGCAGGGTGGGGTGGACTCTGAAACCAAGAGCTTTCCGAGAAAACACTCTTCCGCAAGGCAGTGCCAACGCTGGGCACCTTCCTGGAGCTCCGGAGGATTGCAGGGCTGGTCTACCCACTGGTGCATCTTCCAGTTGGCAGATCACACACGTGATTTAAAAAGCTGCACTACAAATTATGCCAGCGATGGCAGAAATGATGTATCAGCAAACTAACACACACCATTCCTGAAGGGGGGGGACACACTGTGTGAACCCCCCACTGAGCAGTAGCTTTAGAAGGGGACAGGGAGGAAGCCACGCCCTCTGGATGTGAGTCAGATGGGGCTGTAAACAGAGCTGTTGGGAACCAGGCCAGGGTCGCCCTGCATGTGACCGTGAGGGTGATGCTCCCTGGAACCCACATAGCCACGAGGTGCCTAGAATTCTTGTGAGATTAATTCATAACCAAGGACCCCCAAACCTGGTGCCTATCTGAAGGATTTGAAAGTAGAGACCTCAGCAGATACTTGTGTTTTGCTGTTCAGAGTCACGTAACTTCAGTAGTCAAAAGGTAGGAGGGACGCAGGTGTCCAGTGAGGGGTGATGGCTCCATGAGATGCGGCATACACGTACCATGGGGCACTCTCCTGTCCTAAAGATAAACAGCTTTCCAACACACACTCCACACAGACAGAGCAGAAGTGAACTAAACCGGACACGACAGGACAAATATCCTAGGAGTCCACTTGCGTGAAGACCTGAAGGACTCAATCCATAGAGACCCAGGTGGAGTGGTGGCTGGCTGCCAGTGGCGGTGGGGCAGACTGAGTTTGGGACTGTGAGCAATTCTGGGGATGGTGGGTGGTGACTGCAAACCTAGCAACTGTGCTCGAGGCCCCTGGGGTGCACACTCGGGGTGGTGGAAGTGGTGGATTTTACATAAAGCCCAGCTCCATCGGAGAACAGCTGCAGACTCAGAGGAGAATCTGTATCCAAAGGCGTGCAGTCAGCTTGCGGGAAGAGCTGTCAGGATAAGATCTGGAAGAGGAGACTGCACCCATGAGTCAACTACAAATCTCAGAAAGCAGTATGTCATTGTCGAAATGAAAATTTCAGCAGGTAGGTTGAGCAGAAAACTAGATCCCACTGAACAAAAACCAGCAAATCAACAGACTGAGCTGAAGAGTTCTCCAACCAGGTGACCAAGAAATGTGAAGCACAGAAGAGCTGATACATCCAGAAACTCCTGTATTTATTTAATAAGTTGTTAAAAAGTGTTCCGGAGAAAGACTGGAAAGTGGAGAAGTGAAGGCTGGCAGTTTTACAGACCGGAAAAAGACCAAACTTGCCCGATGGGAAGCTTTCGGTGAATTCTGTGCTGAATAGTCGTGGGGTGGCGCTTCGCCTCTGAATTCAGTGAAGGACGTGAAGCAAAATCTGACTAGCCCCCGAGAAGAAATGCAGAAGATGTCCAAAAGAGAGAACATGAGACTCCTATCAGACTTCTCATCAGAGACAGTAGACTCAATTTCTGGGACAGTGTTATTTATTTATTTTTGGTACTGGGGATCGAACTCACAATCTCAAGCTTACCAAGCAGGCGCTTAGGCCACTGAGCTAAACCCCTGGTCCTGGAACAGTATTTTTAAAGTGAAAAAAAAAGCCTGCATTGTATACGCATGTGTAAATGCACATAGAGATTTGTCCCTTTAGGACTTTAATATGCCAGGGTCTATGCTGGGTGTTATGAGAAATAACCCTGATTAATATGCTGAGGCTTTGACGGTACAGCTCAGTGCAGCGCCTGCCTGGCAAGCCTGAGGTCCTGATTTTGATTCCCGGTACCCCAAAATAAATAAATCTGCTGAGGCCTTGCTGCCGATATCAGGGGAGCCGTCAGCAGACTTGGCGCAGCGGAGGGCTTGGTCAGAACCAGCTCCTCTTCCCACCCAGACCCTCTCGGTGCTCGGCCCATTTCCAGGCCTCTGGGCACGGTCTCCCGTCTTCCTTCTCCCCCAGCTCCTGTCTCAGCTGGGCCATGCCAAGGTGCGGTTATGGGGGTACGGCGTAAGGGGCTCACGCAGCAGGGCCCCTCTTGCGCTTGACAACAGCCCTGGCGGGATGTCCTGTGGCAGCATAGACCCTGGTGAATAGGGCCATTTGGAAACTCAAGGTCCCCCATACCTGGTGCTGTGGTTCTCACAGTCTGACCCACAGAACCCTGGCAAAGCCCCTGGGCAGCCACTGTGGACCTTCCAACCTGGGGTCTTGGGTGGGACCGGAGCCTGCAGGTGGTTTGGGTGCTCACCAGTGGGAGGATCATGTCCCTGGGGCCAGGTCAAGTCTGACCAGCAGCAGAGTGTGGAAGGATGGGGGGAAGAGGAGGAGCAAATGCCCTCTCCTCACTCCCTGTCAGCAAGGAGGTCCCATGTCCCCAGAAGGGAGGCTGGAAAGGCAGACCAGGGAGTGCCCAGCTGGGGTGGGGAGCTTGTCTAGGGGGCCCTCCTGGGTCTAGGTGTCCTGACTCAAATCCCACCTGACCCGTCTTCCCGCTCAGGCCCTCCCCAGGCCTCTGGAACTCCCAGGGTGACTCAGGCCAGGGACCTACTCCACACCCTGCCCACCCCGCTTGGGCGAAGCTCAGGCCTCCCAAGGTGCCGGACAAGGGAGCCCCGGGCTCACAGGAGCCTGAGAGAGCTCTCACCCCATGCTTCTTTCTCCCTGCTGAGTGACGCCCTCCTCCCAAGCCCACTGAGGACGTCGGGCACGTCTTCCTCGTCTTCCTCCACGGCTCCCTTGACCCCGAGTTAGACTCTTCCTCCCCAGCCTCACAGCACGGGCTTGGCTGAACCCTAGTTCTGCCTAGAACCGGGCCGTTTTCAGAATCCGCTGGCAGCTAGGTTTGGGGGGCACCTGCTGAGCAGGCAGACAGCCCAGCCAGAGCAGTGCCCTTTTGTCGTTCGCCATTCAGTGGACCTCCATCCATCTGTCCAACAGATAGTTCTCGGGCAGCTTCGGGTTTGGGCCCTGGTGGATTTCTTTCCACAAATGCATCTGAAATTATATTTCAATTTCTGCTTTGGGGAAGATGAGGGGAACAGACATGCTACCCCTCTACTCGTGCACGCGTGCACACGCACACACGCACACACGCACACACATGCACGCGCGTTTTCTCTCCGTAGTGGACTGTAATTCCTGCTGGGAAGGCCCAGGAAGAGGAATTGTAGGGAAAGGGGCAGCTTTGTTCACGGAAGCAAAAAGGGGCGAGAACCTCAGCACCAGCCGCAGGGGCAGCGCCACACTTGGAGCTGTGGGGCCACCATCTCCAGGGCCTGATGCCCTCCGCTCATTAAGGAATGGGGACCACGTGACCAGCCCGGAGTCCTTCCCCCGGGTAAAGCTGCCCACACATCCCTGCCAACACAGGGAGACATGCATGGTCTGTCAGTGGCCGTACCTTTACCTCTGGGATGAACAGGCCACTATGCCAAGCAGCGAGCCCTGCAGGACGGAGCGGACCGCTGCAGTGAGCTGCTTCCTCACAGCGCGGCCCTACCGACAGGTGACAGGAGGCCGGGCAGGCCCGCTGGAGGGGCTCCCAGGAGCTCCCGTGGTTCTCAGCCAGCTGGCGAGTCCGCCTGGCTTTGTCCGTGGAGGCTTCGAGGACCCGAAGCGTGGCAGGTGTGGCCCTAGTCAAGGCCACAGGGACGTCATTACGGTGTCTGAGATTTCTGCGGTCCAAGAGCCATAAAAGTAGCTTCTTAGAAACACAAATGTGAACCAGGTTCCCACAGAGCACGGCAGGCTTTGAAGATTTCAGCACATTCCAGCTTTGTTCTCAGATGTCTCCAGGGGGCGTTAAAAATGTCCTCCTGTATAAAGCTGTGCATAATATTTTTCTCAGGTACCACCATTGGAATACTCAATTGCTCAGTGAGACCAGATCTTGGTGTGCAGTGGGTCACAGTCCCAGAGCTAACACACACCACTCCCAAATAGCGCGGGTCGTTTCCCAGCGTATTTTATGTTAAAGCATAAATTATTTATCCATCGTGCATGCCTAAAACTAGAAAATTTATAATGGTAAGGTCCCAAAGTTTGGGGACGTGTGCATACTCCCGCTGAGCAGTACTGTAAATTGGAAAACGGTTACGTAAACCTTACAAGTGCGTCTGCCGTCTATTTTTTTAAAGTTACCTCAGCACGTGGTTTTTGTCATTAATTGTTCATTTTTGCTTGCTTGTTTGTGGTTCTGGGAATCAAACTCAGGACCTTGTGCTTGCCCCCTTTATTTCTGTTTTTAAATAATTACTCCATTTATATCCCATCTGCTTTCCAAAAGCTTCTAAAGTAGTTTACAAGACAGACAAGTCAATTTTTTAAAAAGATACTGGAGGGCAAGCAAGAAAGAAAAAGTGAGGGAAGAGTCAACAAAACAAAACTCCTGGCTAAGAAAACAGCCTTTTAAAACTTGAAGTGAAATTTTGCGTGACCTCTTACTGTGCTGGTTTCTGCTCTGGATGTGAGGATCACCGCGTTATCGGCTGAGCCTGCTGGGCGCCAAGGCCACTCAGAATGACTCTTCCACAAATCAGCGTCTTGCGCTGGGCGGACACTTCCTCATTTCTCAGCTAGGAAAGGAGAACAGGGCCGGGTCTGCCCTGTTGCTGCCCTGAGCGCAACGTGAAACTTAGTTGGCCGGGGTGGCCTTTGGCGCTCTGATACCAGCACCGGGATCCGAGGGAGCACAGATAATAGCCATGAGTCATTAGGAAAACAGCCCCTCTGTTCATATCTGTGTCTACTTCCACGTCCACGCTTACGCGTATTTCTAAATAGCATTGTTTTTAAAGGGGGAGGGGAGAGAAAGGGAAAGGCATACGGGGTATCTAGAACTGAGCCAGGGTTTGGCTGGTGTTGCCAAGGTCTGCTAAAGTCCACAGCAGCGCCGTAAGACATGGGCACATGGCTCTACCGAGCATATTTCTGCAGAGC